AGCAAGTCGTAGAATAACTCAGGAAGAAATACTTAATAATAGGCGGAGAAGACCTACTATAGTTCCTAGGAATTAAAGTAATTAGAGATTAGTAGAACTAACTTATTTAACTCTCCTAGGCCGCATACTATGACAAAATCAGCCAGCTGGTTAATAACTAAATAATCCGACATGACACCCTAATGGGCATAGGGGAGCTTAAGCCAAGAGAAGGGCTGGCTTCGCTTATAGAGATTAACAAATACCAACGTAAGATTAGATTACTCCTATATATAGCTATTAGTACCCGACCGGATATTGCATTCGCAACCTTAAGGCTAGCGAGATTCTTATTAAATTCTAGTCCAGAACATCATCATGCGGCTAACCAAGCCCTATTATACCTTAATAAAATAAAGTAGAAGACACTTTAACTTAGAGGAGGTAAATCCTTACAGGTAGTAAGTAATGCCTTATTTACGGACAACACTCTAGACCGTAAGAGCTTGCAAGGCTATACTATTAAGCTATTTAATAGCCTTATTACATGGCGTGCAAGCAAACAAGACACTATTACTACGTTAACTATAAAAGCTAAGCTCCTTGCTCTGGCGCAAGTTGCAAAGGAAGCTATCTTTATATTAAGATTAATAGAGGAACTGAAAGTTAAGCTACCTAGCCCTACTATTATAACCTAATGTAATAACTAGCAAACTATTTGGCTAGTAACGCAGGAGATCCCGAAGCTGCATACGAAGCTTCGACACGTTAATATATATAACTACTAGCTCCGACAGGACGTAACTAGGGGAAGGATAAAGGTAGAATATACTAAATCTATAGAGATAATTGCAGACAGCTTAACTAAAGCACTCTTGGTAAATTAGTAGCAGAACTTCCTAAAGTAACTAGGACTAGTAGAGGCAAGAAATTAAAAGGTAGCTAATAAAGCACCTTTAAAGGAGATTTAAGACTAGCTTAATAACCTCACCCTCGTCTAATAACCTTGGCCATGGCTCGAACGGCTCCAAGCTAAGGGGGTGTGTCAGATAAAAAGCATATTAAGTTCGGAGGATCAGGGGTAGCCCGAAAAAGGCCGGGGATTAACCGAGAACACACAGAACCTGCCGAGGGAACCCCGTAGACAGGCAGAACAACCCAATACATTAATTCAACCCCCCGAATCATCAGGACATCTATTAAGACGTGACATCTAATAACTCTCCTACGTCTCTTTTATCTAGGCGCTAAGAGTCGATAGGCTTTTTAGTAGAATCTTATTAATATCCTTTAAATAGCTAATAAAGATGCTACGGGTGCGTTAGTCCGTCGCTTGTTAAAAAGTAAGGTTAAGAGTAATAGTCTAGTTAATAAACTCTTCTTTAAACTAAAAGTTATTAAACACTAAGCGCTAGCCTTTAAGGTAGGGTATAGAGCTAGCTATTCTATTAGCTAAATTAAATAGATTTAATATTATTAGTTTATAGCTAAATTCTTCGAGTTTGTGCAGATGCTTTAGGTAATAAATAATATTAGTAGTAGCCCTACTATTAAACAGCGTAGAATTATACTAACTACTAATATAGCAGTACTTATAGAGCTAGAACTTATTATTTTTATTTATTATAAGCTGCGCGCCGTGTTTATAAATTACTAAAGTTTAGGCTTTAAAGTTATGTCCGATTATATAGCCTCTATCTGTTGTGGATATAAGGCTGGAGCACTCTCTCTTTTGTACTATTCTAAATAGGGCTAGCGCTGCAGCGGCACTTATTTGGAGCCTCGCACACATCTGCATTCCAGGAACACAGAACACGAACATTATCAATCAATCATCACATCCATCAAATTCTCATCATTGCATTATCTCAAAGTGACAGAACACTATCAAATCTGACAAGTTAAGGGAATGCTTATAAGGCTAATAATGTTAAATTAATAGTAACAACTTCTTTTTATAGCGAATTTTATCCTATTTAATAGGGAAAGCGTATTAAGAGGATATCAGCAGCTCTCTTTTATAGGTAGCTGGTGTTAAACCTAAACTTAGTGTTCCTAAATAGCTCTCTAAGGTAGAGCTAGGAGCCTTAGACGGGGTTTTAGGCAGACAAGAGCGCGTAGACCCTCTATAAGGCTGAAAAAATAGGTGGGAAGACATATTTAGCCTAGGATTAGGTAGTGTAGTATATTAAGACTAGAGACGTTAGATTTTTTACGGAAAGGCTAGCTTCTTAGCGCGTCTTTAGCTAATTATAATTTTATTAGGTATACCTAATAAAATTATAATTAGTTTACTTAGCTAGCGCAATCTAATACGGCAATTCTATTAAGTAACTTAAAGTTACTTTAAGTAATATAAAAATCCCTACTTATGCTTACTTAAGTAGGCTTTTACTTTACTTGCTTATTACTTAATTAAGTAACGTTAAGCAAGCAAGTCAAGTAACTTAATTATTAGACACACTGCTAGCGCCACCTCCTCTCATGTACGAGAAAGGCGCACTAGTGCTGCCGGGGGTTGCATGCTGAACGCGCAAAAAGCTCGGAATAAAAATGTAATTTGGTATCAAAAAGGCAACGCTATACGCGAGATAGGTATCTATGTAATGAATCCGTAAACTATAAATCCACAACAGAGCCAAGAATCGAAAGGCATTCGTCAGAGTGATTAGGCAATCGTGCGCACTCGGAACAAGCTGAAACCCATTCTCTCAAACGAACCACTTTACGCGTTGGCAAAGATGTTGCCAATGTTGTTGAGGGACATGCCGTTGGTCATGGAAGCGTCAACCGAGAAGTAAGCGTAGCGGTAGACGTAGTCGGTACTGTCGAGCCAAGCAATAGCATCCCTCAGGAAAGCCTCAGCATCTCCAGACTGAGCCTGGAACTCGGTGACCCAGATAGGCTTCTGTGTCCAGTTGTGCACGTTCTCAACGTGGGCTTTGAAGGCCTCAACATCCGCGGGACCGTACCAATGGGTGGCAATGTGGTCAATCTTGCAGCCATCGCAGGCGCCAAGGAATTCCTTCATGGCGTCGACGCCATTATTGCTGTAGGCGGGAGAAACGATGGTGACGTCGGGGTGAGACTCGGCGATGGGTTGGATCTTGGCCTTGTGGGCGGCCACAGTGCTGGCGACATCCATGCAGGCACCGCCACAGCCCTCGCTGTATTTGGTCAGCAGGCGCTCCGATAGCCGAAGTCGTCGGAGGGCTAATCACTTACCAGCAGATGTCAGGCTCGTTGATGCTCAAGATGTGCCTGGAGCCAGCAGCGAGGGCGCCCTGGATGTCGCTATCGAAAGCATCCATGAACATCGGGCTGCCGTCGTGCAACATGGGCACGAACTCGACGCCATCAACGACACTGAAGCCCGGAGCATTCTGAGCACGGGCTTCCCAATCGTAACCCCAAGACACCTTGCCAGCGCCAGTGAACATATACGCCTTATCCTGGGTATCCTTCGCAAACGCAAGACCACGCTTACCACCACCTTGACGCTTGTGAGCAGTCGGAGCAGCGCTAGAGAAAGAAGCAAGGCCAGCTAGGGCCGCAATGAGAGTAGACTGAAGCATTTTGAAACGAGTGTGTATAGAGAATGGACGACAAAGATGTCAAAAGAAGCGGTGCTAAACGAAGCAGAAAGTAGTGGAAGGCTTGTGAGGATGATGGAGGTTGAACCAGGGAAGACGTGCAATCTTATAGACTGTTATTCACTTCCCCGAAGCAGTGCACGTCCTGCTGCAGGTAAACTATACTGCTCCAAGAACACTGAGGGCACGCGCGTTTGGGGTCAGGTATCCCATGCGGACAACAAGCCTACCCTGTCTTGAGTCCTCCGCACTCTCACATCCGGCTCAGCTAAGATATTAGAACAATCTCTGCAAAGCTCATTTAGTAAATGCGATGTGAATCGAGTGTGGAAACATCGTGCTCCACGTCGATTAAGTTCAATCTGCCTACATGGATATTTACAAATGTCTCAATTGCGCGCAGTGTTTCGAGAAACACGACAGAATGTCGCTATAGGCGGATTGAAACCGGGGGCGTCGCCAACGACTTGGCTGTGACTAGGAAGTCCGGACTTCAATGGCGGAGTGTCTGGCTTACTGTCCTGGATGAATTTCCGCACTACATTTCCGCATGACGATAGCACCGACGGCGCGGTATAAGCGACGAACGAGAGGAGCAGGATCGACGGCATCCAGCCATGTTTCGGATGCTCGTATTTGGGCTGTGCGACAGCAGCTCGTCGGCCGGGTGAGGGTGTAGGCGTGGTGGAGAAAGAAAGACCGGCGGAGTAGGGTGAGCGGGACCTAGAATGCGGCTAGCATGCGGCTAGTCTAACCGAAGTGATACAAGCGTATTTTCCCATGTCCGACTGATCTTCTGACTCCTGCCCGTCTCCAAGACATCCCCGCATACTGTCGTGTTAGGTCTATCTAATTAATGTGATGCGACGATATATGATAGATGGTCTTAGGAACTTCTTACAATGAAATTGTTTTCAACAAGTTCTTCAACCCGGTCACCCCATCACGATAGACTAGGAAACCTAAGCAGGCTATAAGGGGCATAATCTGGGCTTAATTACTACACATTGCCTGGTCGTTAGCCTAGTAGGTAATGATTGAAGCTTCTCTTCTAGGCTTCAGAAACACGTGCGCAAGGCAGTGTGGTGGGGATGATGTGATTTGACGAGAAATTGATGTTGAGTGTTGAGTGTTGAAGGAGGGGACGGAACAGCGATTGAAGCTTACATGCAGTGGTCGTATGCAAGAGCATGAATAATTAAATAGACAATAAGGCGGTTATTGCGAGCGCGTGACCTCGGGAGAAAGTCGAGTCTCGGGATAATTAGAGGAACAAGTCTTTACGATATCACAGAATAATATCCTCTACAGCGCAGGAAGTTAATAATTTTGTTATAAAAAGTACGGTTTTCGTAAATCACAATAACCTCATGCTACCTCGCTCCGAAACTGGTACGCAGCGCGTAGAAAACAAAAACAAAAAAGAAATGACCCACACCTGATTCGAACAGGTAACCTTCAGGAAGTCCCAGTTTAACTGGAATCTGACGCGCTACCGTTGCGCCAGCGGGCCGTCTAATATCCGAGGTATCGAACTTGAAGCCATTTGTCTTTAATTTGATTGGTAGAAATTGAGAAAATCATACTTATATACCAACAACAAAGAGCACAGAAATTCCGATCAAGGGATACTATATCACGATATAGGTGCATAGAAACGTACCAACTGGCACAATATGCGTTCTGTGTGAAGTATGACTCATTCCGCTCGCTTAGGGAAATTCGTTCTCAGCCCCACCTGCAGACCTGATTGGCATTCAAAACTTCAACAATCCGACCAGAGAAAAACTCATACGCATAGGACTGGACGACAGCTTCAACTGGTCTAGGATACCCTCATGGCCACACCCATCCCGTTGGCGTTTGGCATAAGCCAAGTTGCTGGCATGGCCCGAAAATGCTGCCTTTTGCTACGCCCAGGTGCTGCCTCGAGCCGATCACGACCATGCAGATTCGCTCCCAGGTGATGTGTCTCATAGAACAGCTTCTGACTGGTCCACATACTCAGGCTGAAAAGGAGTCTTGGCGAGTTTCCTGGTTCCACCGCTCAGCCTAGTCGATGCCGCCTTGAACTACCACCACCAACATTTGAACATGCGACTATCTTGCTGGGTAGCTTCCCGGTCTCACACACACCAATATGAGCACTGAAAGACGCGGCCATTCTCGACCGAAACCTGCGGTAACCGGGTCGCTCTTTCCGGAGAACGGGCGAGGCGCTCAGGATGACATGAAGGGAAAGAAAGGGCGAGGCGGTTCGAGGACGCCGCATACACAACAGGAACCTTCTTCATCTTTTACGACGTGGCAAACAGCTAGACACACCGAGCCCGCTCTTCCTTCGCCTCAGCAGCATATTGGCTCCTCTTCTAGCCATGCATCTTCCTCGAACCTTCCGGCCGTGATGAATGAGTCAGCCGCGCCCTCCGCCAACCCACAGTCGCTGAGAGATTATTTCTCCACTGGTGAAGTACCCGCAACCACATACACAGACCAAAATTTTGCAGACATTGCAAACCTCCTGAAAGAAGCGGGGCACGAATACTGGGGGCGAGATACCGCGTATATTCCCGGTTCTGCGTGTTAGTGGACAACTTGCAGCTATCGAGTCGTTCTTGACTCTTGGAATGAACAATCTGTTGTTACCTTTCAACGTATCACAACTGCCTCGATCGATGTCCGCTTTCCAGCGAGACCAATTCGTGGAACACCAGGACGTTGTCCTGTAAGTGATATAGTTCAGTGCGCTCAGCGGCAAGTTAACAATCTGTATCTAACAACCACGGAACGAACTTGATAAGCATAGAGAACAATACTGCAAAAAAACACATTCATTTCAAGAAAGACGAAGAATTCCCGCTGCCTATCGGAGACAAACTCGGTTAAGGCGGATATGGGACAGTGCACAAAGCTGTTAGCTGCGCCCTCCCAGAACGACTACAGCTAATATTGCCGGTATCTCACATTCAATTTTCTGGAGCTGTAAGGCAGACGCGTAACAAGGCACCACAACCGGAGATTAGCTCTGCGCTGCGGGCATGAGCGATTCAGTGATACATGGTGGGGCCGACGATGCCCTACTCCAGTCTCATGGTTAGGGCTGGAACGTGATCTAATGCTGGACTTGTGTATGCATCTGAACACCTTGTGAGGACTTAGCAGGTTTTCACGAGCATGGAGCGGTGTTGGGCGGTTGCGATTGTTGAAACTGAAGTTTAGTGTAAGAGTTATCAGCTATGTAGGCGAAGAAGTCGCCTATATAGGCTAGCGTGCTCCTTCCGTATGTCGGGAAGCGCCTGCTTCAACAGTCCTCCCAGACGGAGGAGCATGAATATAGTATACATGAAGCATAAGCATGCCAGCCTTAGATCTTCAGGTCCTCCTTTAACCGTTGTGGAACTCGTCGAGGTGGAGGCGAAGGTCGTCGCCGTCCTTGTACCGCAGGTTGGTCAACGTGCGAAACAGTAGGATGGACAATTGGCCAGTGTCACGATCGAACCGGCTAGTGAGATAGTCCCAGGGCCTTTGTGTCTTTAGCGTCCCAGGCGTTGATGGTGGTGGTGTCTGCGCCGCTAGCTAGTGCGGCTAGTCGCGGCTTCTTTTTGGAGATGACTGGCCATAGCCTTGCATATTGGAAGGCGATAGTCTAGGCTGACCGGTATTCTAGGAAGTTCTCGCCACGGGATCTAAGCTTGGGTAGGGACCCTGGGTCCAGTTTGAACTGGAAGGATGACATGGTCGATAGTTAGTAAGGTCCTTAGTAAAGACCAAGGTGAGAGGAAATCTGTATGTAGTTGGAACCGCTGAGGGTAGCGAAAGCAGCAGGTGATTGCTCAGGCTTTTGCCAGCCGGTGACGCAGCGGGTAGCTGGGCGGCTGGGCAATGACAGCAGCGGTGCAGTGTAGCGGTGCAGTGTAGCGGTAGTGGACCGGCCCGCCAGTGGCGATGAGCGTAGCGGCGGTCGTGCGGCTGATGCAGAGGTGCAGCAGCAGTGGAACCGGCAGAAGCCTTTTGGTGTAGGTGTGACGGTTCTTGCAGCTGTAAATAGCGGTGCGGTGGGCAAGCCGGTGGCAGGCGTCGCAGCAGCGGTTCAGCGGGTAGCTGTACAGGTAATAAGAGACGCTGAGTAGATGGAGCGTAGAGAGTATGTCCAATATGGGCAGCGGAGCTCCGGGCTCATAACCTGTTGAAACTGAAGTTTAGTGTAAGAGTTATCAGCTATGTAGGCGAAGAAGTCGCCTATATAGGCTAGCGTGCTCCTTCCGTATGCCGGGAAGCACCTGCTTCAACAGCGATGACATGACTTGCATTAAACCACTGAAATGAAATCTTGATAAGAATTTCTATACGGACACCAATTGTATCTGTTTGTATTATTCTAGTTGCGATGCTTATTATCTTTGAAAATTGTTGTTCCTGTTTAGGTAGAGGCGGAATCACGGGAAGCATGCGCGACGCGTCAAAAGTGGCTAGGTAGGAAAACACAGCCACATTCATCTTGGCGCATGAACGATCCACCTCTCAGCTTCGCTGACAATAGTCACGCAGCTCGGCTTACAACAAACGTACTTTCCTTTTCACGCGCAAAACTGTTCCAATCGCTATCGGACCACCCGTTGCAACCGAATCAATTACCACCAGCGTGAATCCCGGTGCCGCGCATCCCTTGCTACTCCGCCGGAGGTTGATAAGCAGCTCCGCATAGCTGTCCACACCAGCTCATTGATACGATACACACCACCGCCAAAATGTCGTTAGGCTCATATTTCCTCGACGTCGTATACTCGTTTACGAACTGCATGGTGTGCTTCCCAGGCTCACCGCAGCTCAAGATCAACAGCCGCAGCTTCAAGATAGTGCGATTACTTGGCGAGGTGCGCCTGCCCTCTCTCTTCCCTCGTTACTACAACAAGCGACTGACGCATAAAATAGGGCGGCTTCAGCTACGTCTACCTCATCCAAGACACCTCGAACCAGGCGCTCTTCGCCCTGAAAAAGATCCGATGCCCCTTCGACCAAGAATCTGTCTCGCAGGCCCTCAAAGAAGTAGAAGCGTACTCCCTCTTCTCGCCGCACCCCAACATCATCCACTCGATCGACTACAGCGTTGCGTCCGACAAGTCCGACCCCAGCGCGAAAACCGTATACATACTCTTGCCGTACTACAGGAGAGGGAACCTGCAGGATATGATCAATGCGAATCTCGTTAATCACACGCAGTTCCCGGAAAAGCGGTTGATGCAATTGTTTCTGGGCGTATGTAAAGCGCTCAAATCGATGCATCAGTATAGAGCAAGGGAAGGACCGGGCGGCGCGCGGAGCGAGGGCAAGGCGAAAAAGGTGCGGAAAGAGGCGGCGCGGGCGGATGCAGAGGCGGCAGAGGCGATGGAGATGAGAGCAAGCCGGCGGAACACGAAGAACCTCGAAGACGACGACGAGATCGAGGCGGAGGGGTTACTGGAGGGAGGAGAAGTGAGCTTGGCGCAAGAAGGGATTGCGCCGGGCGGCGAGCGCGCATATGCGCATCGAGACATCAAGCCCGGTAAGTCTCGCGTTGTTTTGGATTCTATGGAATGAGAAGGGAGGAGCTAACGGTGGAACAGGCAACGTGATGATAGACGACGACGGCCTCACACCCATCCTCATGGACCTCGGCTCCCTCGCGCCCTCGCCCACACCCATAACATCGCGCTCGCTCGCCCTCCAAGTCCAGGACACGGCCGCCGAGCACTCCACCATGCCGTACCGCGCGCCGGAGCTCTTCGACGTCAAAACCGGCTCTGTCATCGACACAAAAGTGGACATCTGGAGCATGGGCTGCATGCTGTACGCGTGCCTCGTGGGCAAGTCTCCCTTCGAAGCGAGAAGTGACGAGACGGGCGGTAGTCTGAGCATGTGTGTGCTCGGCGGCGACTGGAGATTTCCGGATGAGGGCAGGGGCGCGAAGAAACCGGCGGAGGGCGAGGGCATAAGCGAGAGCGTGAAGGAGGTGGTGAGGAAGTGCTTGAGGGTTGAGCCTGGGGAGAGGCCGGATGTGGATGAGTTGATTGGTATGGTGGAGAGTGTGATAGCGGAGTTACCGGAAGATGGCTCCGAGTAAGGTTTGAATGCCATTTGACGACCGCGGGTTGTAGTTTCCGGCTTACTTTTCCTCCGTATGTTGAGCTGCGTAGTGCTTGTTGTAGGATTAGTGGTGGGATGGCTATCGGATATGCATGCTACTTGGGCGGGTTGGGAAGGGGATCATGGTGCTGCTAATATACCCTTTTAAGACATCCATTGGACGCGCATAGTCCGTCGATCCACGATCCAGTGAAAGTCCTACAATACGTCCCATCTTTCTGTATTCCTAGCGGATATATACACCCCAGCAAGGCAGCTCTGCTTTGGCCATGGACGTACGGCAGTAATGGCGCCCCTCCGCTGTGCCAGCTATGACACAGGCTGCATTAAGCAAGACTGACAAGCTTCACATTTCTACGAAATCCAAGTAGAGCATCGTACGCCGAACCG